CTTTTTAAGGCTCAACCAAAATATGCTAATTTGTTTACACCGATTAACTTCCTGCTAAGAGGTATGCACATGTATAATCTGCGAGCCAGTGAGTCATACGAGTTATGCAAGTAAATACTGGAAATTTACTGATTTAGTTTAAGCACTCATTTTACCGAAAGGGATTTAGCACTCATTTTAGGGGCTTGGGTTAAGTGCTGTTTAGTGTTAAAGACTTATTTACAACGGTAAGCTTACAGTTACAGTGGCGTAGCCAGGGGAGGGTTCCAGTGGTTCCGGAACCCAACTCCCCCTCTTTATGCTACGGCACCTGCTATAATTTCAAAAAGACTGCGATTTTAGCTGTTACAGAAAATGGAAAGAAAATCAATTAAAAAAAGTATTACATTCTATTTCAAGGATTACATATGAATACTATGAGGAAGAACGTACGGGGCACCTGTGTATACAAGCCTGGAATTTCAGTGCATTTGCTGGTCTCGATCGATCGCTTTCAGTTGCGTGTGATAATGGTTCGACTATGCGAGGGTTTAATACAATCTCGGTAGCGGCAGAAGGACAGTGTAAGTGGTCATAAAAGTGAGAAGGTAGAATGAAATCAGTGTTGATGTTTGCAAATCAGTGCGAGGAAATTGTCTCAAACTGGGACAATAACGCTCACTGTCTAAAACATGCAGTATGCAATTATGCAATTATGAATTTCTCATATGCCATCCGGGTTACCGTGATGCAGTGCCCTTTCCCTTACATAAACAGTCCGGAATATCCCTAAATTTAAGGACAAGGCCAACTGGTCACGCGACACTTTTCAACCAATGAGAAGGCGCGCTTGTGTTTATCAACAAACAAATCAAAACATCGCACCAGTGATCAGTTACAAATTTTCAAAACAGCGGACGGAGTCGGACAGAATCAGTCATCGTTTCGAGGCTCTCAGACATATTTTTAAGACTTTTCATGAGGCATACACAATTTTTTTAAGTGGACAGCGTATCGGAAGCCATATTGGAAGTGTCTCGTGAAATATTCAGCAAATTTTGTGGCTTATTTCTTCTTTTAAACAATGCGATGTATGAGCGAGATTTTGGTCGGTTTTCAAGGTAGGTAAACAAGTATTTATTATTTTCTCGATTCACAGGTTTTTTACGAAGTTCTAGATATTTTTCCTCGATTGTCATATCGATTAACTTTTATCATGTTGAATGTGGGGATGGTAGACAACCTAGAAATTTGGCAGCCAATTTTTGAATTCCGAGGACCAAAACACGTACGTTTTCCACGCCTGGGTTTCTCACTGAGGCGTGTTATTACTTTTTTTGGCATTAGTACGAGCTTTTGCCTTTTGTCTTTTCAAGGCCGAAAAAACTTTATTAGTCTTAGGGATATTCACGTCCAACATCTCGCCTCACTTTGCCGAATTTGCGGGGATGTAGATACTAACCGCTTAGCTTTGTTTCTGAAATTCACCAAATCTGGAAAGATTTAATGTTGTTGGATTCTCCAAAGGTTCATCCACCGTTGAAAAACAATCAAAGAAAGAAGGCAAATTTCAAGTGTAAATGATGTATTTCCCTACTCATTGAACATGCACTGATTATCTGGGATAAAATTGAAACATTGCACGTAGTACAGCAAGCAAAGAAAGTACCAGGTGCGTGAAGTCAACACGAAAAAACACACAAAAAAACAAGAAAAATTAATAAATTTGAACTACTTTTTATTCTTGTTATGGTGACTGGTTCTTTGATTCTTGTCCTATAGACGTTAATAGGTAGTACCAATCCTGTTTTGTACGATCTCAACAAATTTTCACACTCTCTCTATCTCTATAAGGCTATTTTTACACGGGACCAGTTTGCTTCTATCAAAAATCTTGCAAGCCATGCCAGTGAAGCCACGACGACCTCTGCGATCGGTCCGGAATCAGTTCGAACACCCCAATGATTCCTTGCAATGATTAATGCTCTTATTCTCTTACATGAAATGTTTTCTTTGAAATATTAAATGTGAAACCTAGACGAGTACTGTAAGCTCATCTTTAATTCTGTCCGACTCGGCCGTCCGCTGTTTTGAAAATTTTTTATCACTGGGGCGATGTTTTTATTTGTTTGTTGATAAACACAAGCGCGCCTTCTCATTGATTGAAAAGTGTCGCGTGACGCTCCAAAATGATCAAAGGAATTGAAATTGAGTCGAATGGATCTCAGGAAATAAAATTATCTCAGTATGCGGATGACACGAAAGCGCTCTTGAGTGATAGTGAGTCCGTCATGCAGCTATTTGAATTGTTGGGCCTTTTCGAAAGATGTTCTGGCCTTAAAATAAACGAATCAAAATCGGAACTGTTATGGCTTGATTCATGGCGCTATAGAAAAGGTAAAATTTTAAATTTACAAATTAGTGAGGAGCCTGTCTACGCGCTCGGTGTTCATTTGCGTACGAAAGTGACACGGTTCTACAGAGGAACTTCTGGGATAAGTAAATTTCCTTAAAAAAAAACTGTTAAAAATATGGTCTCAAAGGGACATTTCTGTTAACGGAAAACAAATCTAGTGAAATCCCTCGCGCTCTCCAAACTGGCATTTATCTGCAGTGTAATGGAAACTCCAAACCTTTTTGTTGATGAAGTAAACAAAATAGTATTAGATTTTATTTGGAGCCACAAACCACCCAGGATAAAATACATTACGCTCATCAAAACAAGGCAAGAGGGAGGCTAAGAGATGAAAGACTTTGCTTTATTTAACAAGGCTTAAATTGGGTTAGGCGACTTTGTTCAAACTCAGACGCTCCGTGGCAGTACATCCCGAAGTCCCTCCTAGGAGGGCTTTTCAAATGTAACTATGCAATCGGTCACCTTAATCGAAGCAAATGCCTTCCAGCTTTTTATCACGAAATAATCACATTTTGGCAAGACGTAATAGCTTCCAACCCAAAAAGCAAAAATGATGTTCTTGAGTAGATAGTTTGGAATAATAAGTTTATTAAGTCTGATAAGAAATCTATGTACTTGCAGCATTGGCGTTGCGCAGGAATTCTCAAAATTAACGACCTCTTTGATACACAGCAAAACTGCTTTCCGTCCTTCGACTCTTTTCGTAATAAATTTAACGTAAGATGTAATTTCTTACAGTACTTTGCCCTTGTTAACACCATCCCTCAATGACTTGCAAAAAAATTTATACCAAGCTGCTGTCTCTTCGATCAAAACCTCCGCCGACTTGTGAGAAGAGACTCTTAAATTTTGGCTACCAGAAGGATGATTTGAGAAAATTATATCTATTGCCTTTTGAAGTAACCAAAGAAGTAAAGCTATGAATGTTCCAGTACAAAATTATTCACAACATTCTGTGCACTAAGAGTTTATTATTCAAAATGAAGAAAGAAGACTCCCACGCTGCCCTTTTTGTCCAGCAGATCACACCTTCATTCATCTTTTCACTGAGTGCGCGCAAGCCACTTTGTTCTGTAAGGAGTTGGGCCTCGCGCATATATGGTGAACTCAAAATTATCGCTTTCAATAAAAGAAATTATGTTTGGCATTATTAATAACCATTCTAAATTCTGTTTAGCCCTCAATCATTTAGTCATTATAGGAAAGTATTTTCTTTACGTAAAAGCTCTTAACGGTAAATTTTACATCTTTAATGAATTTGTTTCCCTAGCTCGTGATAAAATTAGTCTAGAAAAATATATTTCTTCTACGACTGGTCACGAAAAAGATTTCAGAACAAAATGGTCTGTTTTTTCGTCTCTTTTAAATACGGTATGAAATTCTGTTTACTGAACTGATTGCGCTCCCATTTAATTTTAGTTACCACCAATGTTTTTATTGTGTTAGGTTTCTAACCTTCAATCTAGACAAAAATACCACATTAGGAACCCCTCTATGAAAAACTGCTGGCTATGCCCCTGAGTTAATGTTTTTCGTATCGTTGCTTTCAATCTTTTTTTGACCTGCATGACTCGCTGCTATGGGTCACATGTCTCGTAGGCTCGCAAAGTGCTTATACTTCCTTCCCAGGATATTAATGGAGCACCAAGTGAAAAGCACTCTTTCTACAACAAACACTGTTACAAACTATTAGATAGTAAGTAAAACATTTGGCAGAAGCAAGCTTACCGCTTTGTCATTCAACAGCTCATCTTTTTGAAAAGAAAGATGGGATATTTCCTAAGGTGGAAGAACATGGAACATTGAAAAGTTAGAGTTTAGATTAATTTTCAAAAGTGGCAGACAAAAATCAAAGTTTTAAGCCACCCAAAACAATAGTTTTAAAAAACAATAACAAAGGGAAAACAAAAAGATAACTCAGACATATACTTTTTTAAAAAGTGTAACTTTAGAGTAGACTTGTCAGTACAGTTCACTCTTCCTTATTATTAGAAGGACAACCAATGTTTGTCCCTTTCATGCCATTTTTTAGTCATTTAACTGAAACTTGACTCTCTTCAAAGCAGAAACCTCGCTGTGACGGAGACATTTTGACCCAGTCCCTACGCTGTCCGTCTTAGAGAGAGACAATAAATGCACAGACCAAGAGCCGCACAGACCCATATAATCATCCAGATGCATGTGCAGATATTTTTGGGACGCGAACCACCTTTGGTTCACTGTATAGGATACTTATTCCTACACAATAGTCTCTGTCCTCTGCAATTTTTGTGAGACAACAAATCATCTTTTCTTTAAAAGCTACCAGTTCTCTGAAAAGAAGAAAATACATGTACATTAAAGCTAACTTGTCTGTAGTTCAACTTATCGAAAACGGATGACAAAATCATGAGTTAACATATTGTTTTCATCGTGTGGGATCAAATGTAAGAAGGCAACATGAACAACATCTAGCAAGTCCCAAGATCCTATCACTAATGACATGTGTACCAGTAAGTCGGCATTATTTTAGCAAGATTAAAGTGTGACTACAGAAACCAGGGCACTCTTAAAAGTTTTCTACAGCTAGTGAGCCAATAAGCAGCTGGTATTTACTTACTCTGTGTTATAATCCATTAATTACTCTGATGCTGGAAATTGGATTACGGCCTCTTCGCCGGAAGTTATCAGTTGAATTTTCTCCATAAATATGGAATTGGTCGGGAATACTCATTGTATCCCGAATGACAAACGGGAAGTGTTCCCTGTTATCAGACTAAAAATAAAAGTTACAAAAGACTTTTGTGAACCACCGACCAAAGTGTAAACATATTAGAATTTCTTTTCAAGGATCAATTTCGGAGTGCAAAAAATGCAGACTTGCAGACTGGCAGGTAAAATTTGTTCTAAAATGCTTTTATTAATTATTTAAGTACCAGTTTGGCTACAGAAAAAGCCATTCTACTGAGCAAGCGAACATGGTGATCACTGATAATCTGAAGGCCTCTATTGACAGTAACCTTATATCTTGTGGCCTCTTCTTAGATATCTCAAAAGCATTTGATAAAGCATTAAATATTGTTAGATAAACTCTACAAATATGATGTCCGTGGCAGGCGACATGATTGGTTTGCAAGTTATCTGCTGGATCGCAAGCAATTTGCTAATTCTTCCAACCAAAACATATACAGTAAGCGATCTATTTGGCTCAGAAATCGCACTTGAAAGTGTTTAATTTGCTGCTCGCACGATCTTCTGCCATTAACGCTTCGATCTCGTTAATCACGTGACGTTACGTCACACTTTTGGAACAAATAAATGATCTCTTATATGGCCTACTCTAGTTCTTTAAGTGATAGCTCTACCCTTTTCGTCCGATTATTCAGATATAGAAAAACTTTTAGAAGGCGAAGCGATAGGGAGAAGTATAGGGTAGCCCTTCACAGGGATTCAACCCTGGCGTTTTGAGCCGCCTGGAACTAGATCTCACGAGGCTGAGAAAGTTCGTGAGTCGCCTGAAAGTCTGCAGTGTGCGGTTTTTCATACACCGTTTATATAGGGCGCTTTCCATTTAGTCAAAATTTCCGGAATTTCCGGTTCGGCGGTAAATGGAACACGTTTCGTCGGTTCGTCCCACTGGAAAATTCCCAGAAAAAGTGGAAAATCTAAAAAGGTGGTCCCGTTTTCCCGGTTGGAATTTCCGAAGGGAATGTCGTGTTCCATTTACGTTTCTCGTAGTTTGTACCAGTTCCAGGTCCACGGTCGGGCACCGCGCCACGTACCGGGGTTTACGACCAAATGGAACAACTTTTTACCAATCGGAAATTCCACTTTTGCTACCACCGAAATTTCCGGGGTTTTTTCGTAAATGGAAAGCGCCCATACTCTCCATAAAGGTCTCTACGCTGTGGCGTATTCAGATCTTCACTGAAGTGAGGCGCCCGTTCATCCAGTCCAAGATAGGAGAGTGCCTGGCCTCCCAAATAATTTGTCTCAGCCCTGCAAACTTTGGCCTTAGATTAAATTACGGGCCCGGCTCCCCCAGGGCTCCCCCCATAGTTCTGCCACTGCTAAGATACAGTGATAGTTTTAAAAGAAAGTATGAAGCTAAACAAAATTAAGAGGTAGCAGAGCAGCAAGCCTCTGAAGATTTAAATTTTAGAGAGGTTCAGTCCATTATGTTAGCTTCCTGTTATTAACCTACCTCACCCCTATAAAAATAATAGTGACTGTTTGAATGGAGGTGTGGGCATGCACAGTTAATGGTTTGCTGGTGAGCATTTCTTTATTAACGCTTTTACTCCCAGAGTGAATGATGGAGTCTTGTGAGGTGGTTTTAACTTTTCAGTTTGTGAACAAGATCCTATGGTGTTACCTTTCATATGAATTCTCTTCAGCAGTACTTTCACATGGACGATAGTACCCATTTGTATTTCAGCGTTTTTCAAAATAAAATTTGGAAATTTTGTCAAGTTTTGACTTTGGCCACTTCTGGGAGCGAAAGGATTAACGAAATAATACAAATTTAATGATTACCATTATTATTAAATACTAACTTGCACGGAGCAACCAAGCATCAGCCACAGAACTTTAACAATTTCTTCAGCAGCTTCAGCTGCAACATTAAAATGGGGCAATTAGTACCGTAAACATGAGGAAGAACATGCAATGTACATATACAGACGTTTATTACTACATTGTTAGAAAAAAGTACATAACCATACACCATATCAGTTGGACACCCATCCAGTTAACAGGGTATTTTACAATTGAATACTCAGTACTAATAGTAATAGAAGCGAGGCTGGAGTTGACCTAATGTTCTGTTAAAAACCTTCCTGCTTTTCATGCGCAAATCACGCTATTCTCATGCTGACAAGCCTGTCAAAATGATCAGTTAAACGTAAAAAACAAGGTTTGTAACAAAACAGGGTCAACTCTAGTCTCTCTTCTATTCAAAGGCCAGGGTACTGAGCACACAACTGTAAAACAGCCTATTAAGCAGAAATAAGACTGAGGAGGTCCTAAGTGTTTATGTAAAACAAAACTTCAGTAAGATGATACTGACCAGGGTCCCTTCTATAATACAATGTAGGTGTATGGTTAATATATGTTTCGTTGTATGATTATATTGCACTACTGGTATATTAAAATTGATATAGTAATTACACCTACAAATAAACCCAGTTGCCGCAGTAATGGTAGACCCGATGGAAATTCCAAAACACCCTACGGAATATTATTAAAATGTACAAGATCATGTAGGTTGTGAACAAAATCTTGTTTCTTCAAGCCAGGTGCATGTATAGTACATATAGACGACTGATTTGTAACAATATCAAATTGGAAGCATCGGACCTGTTTCCTTCATACATCTCTATAATTTGAATTGGAGTGCTAAAAAATGCACACTAATGCACTCTCGGCTTAAAAAACTTTAAACTCGATCCAGATTGTCCTTTTGGGCAAGCAGCCTTCAAGGTTTGTCTGTCCAGGGCAGTTGTTTAGTTTTAGCCAAGACAACTTAACTGGGCCCTTTCCAATCAAGACAGGCAATTGAGCATCAAAATAGTTACTTGCCCAGAAGGAACAACTTATCCATTTGTTCTACACTACTAGATGAAACTTTTTTGTAGCTCCCTGCTGTTCAAAAAGAGCAGGGAACAATAGATACTAGAGGTGTGGTCTATCTTTCATGAGCTGTGTGGGGCCACATGGACCACTTGTGGGTAGCCATGGAGAACTAGGACTGTTTGAAAGAAGTATTAATAAGTGTTTCTTGAAACTAACCACTTTCCGGTTTCTTTGCTCTTTTTATTAGATCCGGAGACCTAATAACCACAACCTGTTGTAGTTTATCGTAAAAGTAAAACAGACGTGGAATTTTTAGAGTACATCAACCATCAATTTAAAAAGAGCACCCCTAAATACACACCTGCAATTGCTACGCTTAAGAGCTGAAAAAGAAGATTCATAATAATCTTAAGTGCCATCCTTAAGTAAGTGCTACACAGAGATGTCACAAATTTAATACCTGCCATACAAGTAAAAACGGTAGTAGATTTTATGAATAACGTTCAGTTGTATAGTGTTTACTTACAAAATATATCTTTCATTAAAACTATACTCAGATTCACACTGGCCTGCAATGAGCCAGTTCCTCATCATCATCCTCCTCTTCTAATAACCCATTTAATTTCTAGGTTTTTAGTTGTGTACTTTCCCAGTAGTATCATTTAATTTCTATATAACTCTTTCCAAAGTATTTAATCTAAAATTGTAGTCTGCGATGTTTCTGTAGATGTAGATGTCCTTGAAATAATTGGCATCGCTGCGAGCATGAATTACAACAAACAGAGAAAATGAACACTCAATAATGAAAAAAAATAACCGAGTTAATTGGCCACTACTTTGGGAGAGTCGCTGCTCTTGTGGGATTGCTACTTTCGGGAAGCTAATACGTGTACTGCACGAAGTTAATAAAATCGCGACAAATGTGAAAACATACACACTTTTTATTGGGAGAGACTTATTACGTGTTATTGTTTTGAATAACAATTCCAAAGAATCAGTCTTTAAATAGCCTACATTATAAGCAATAGCCAGTTCTCATTTGTCCGAATGCAGATGTGGCAGACCTCTCGGCCGGCTCGGCTCTAGTTGTACGAAAAACGAGGCTAGTGAGGCCCTAAGAGTTTTGTTTTGACAAGGGCGAATAAATGTTGAGCGGTAAGCGCTTCGCTCCTCATGTGTGATGTGGAGTTAAGACTGGCGTGATCGCTCTTTTCTCACTTCCATTGGGCTTGAACGCCAGTGAAATTTTCCTTTTTGCAAACCGGAAATCCTATTTTCTCTCTGTAATTTCAGGGTGCAATGTTAAAAAGGTTTATTCGTTTCATAACAATATTAATAAACAGTTTCATATGTCTGTATGCCAATACGGCAAACTTGTCGGTCTCATAATGCCAAATCTGAGTGTAATTTGAAATTGTTGAATGCTTCCTCTTTCCACTAAAAATGACCTAATTGCCATTCGCTGTTTCGTTTGCAATAGCTTAACACTTCTTAACCTTAATTTTTGCAAATGTTACAGAGGGATAAATTTTATATAACATAACAACAAAATAGCTGGATATATTTGGATATAGTGCGCAGCGTAGCTTGCATGACGGAACGTGTTTACATTAGACAAACAAACATGGCGGCGAAAAAGGCAATGGTACACGGAAGACGATTTCCCAAACTCTACTCATTAAAATTTTGTGATATTTGGCAGAATTTTTACTTTATCATATTTTAAATAATGAGAACTTTAAAAGGGAAGTTGAACAGACAAATTTTGTGACACATATTATAATTACAGTAAAATTATATTATTGATTATATAAGTACCTGTCTATTAAAATTTGGTCAAATAAAATTCAAATGGTAGTTACCTGATTGAAGGTCTCGTTCCTCTTTCAGCCATTTTCTTCTTTTGATGAGACTTGGGATCCGTTCTCTGAGCCAACGATGCCAGAAATGTCTAACTAGCTCTTGGACTCTTCTCCATCTTTTCTTGAGACTATAATTGGTTTCATCTACGGATTCTGGCGCGAATTGACCTCCAATTTGACCTATCAGAAAGTGGTTCAGTGTCAGTGGTATATCATCTTCAGGGTTTGCTGATTGGTACGTGAGGGGCCTTGAACTCAATAACGTTTCTGCCTCTGTGAATGCTGTTGTTAATTCTTCATCTGTCACGTCTGTATTGCCCAATACTGCATTCACAGCCCGCTTTGCAGCTTTAAACATCGTCTCGTGTACACCCCCGAATTGTGGTGCTAGTGGCGGATTGAAGTGCCAGATTACTCCTTTGTTTGTTGTTGACTGGGCAATTTTACTGTGATCCAGTGCCTCAAGCAATTCGTGCAATTCTCTCTCGGCCACGACAAAGTTCGTACCATTGTCAGATAACATCTCTCTGGGTAGTCCTCTTTGATCATCCTATAGAAGGCGTTTAGGAACGAATCAGTGTCGAGTCCAAAGGCCATCTCAAGGTGGACCGCTCTTGTGGCTAAGCAAGTAAAAAAGCACAAGTATTGCTTTTGTCTTCGAGATCTTCTTCCTTGAATTGTGACGAAGGGTCCCCCAAAATCTACCGCTGTTTGTGCAAAAAGTCGGAGTGATAACCAAAGTCTGATCAATGGAATGGGCGCCATAATTTGCTTTGGCAAATTGCACTCCTCCCATTCTCGAATTTCTTCATGTCCAGATATTATCCAGAATCGAGTCGATAGGACTGCTAGCGTCTGATTCGCTCCACTTGCATGATTCCCCTCTTTGTAAAAGTACTTCACAATCAATTTTGTGACTTGATGCATGTGAGGAAGAATTATCGGGAAACGAGCATCATGAGATAAGAACTCTGCATATTTAAGTTGACTGTCACACCTCATCTGACCTTCTTCGTCCAATCATGGTCCAAAAGCAAGTAATTTACTTTCTTCGGTAGCTCCTTTCGGCGTTGAAGGGCCAAATACTCTTCAGGAAAGGCGTCTCGCTGGGCGCTTTTAATAACCTGAATCTCTGTGTCCTCGATTTCATTTGTCTTAAATTATCCATTTTGTCTCGTGCGACCTCTACAGTTATCCGCGAAATGACGAACCCATGCGTGAACTCTCGTGAATCTTTTCCAACTTGAGAAATGTTTGGGTCTAAATGCCATGATGTGCCCTCTTAGTTTTTAGTAATCATTGTTGGCTCGTCATAAAGATGATTGAAATGGTCTGGTAATTTCTGAATTTGACTTCTTCTACTTTTGCAGCTCCTTGTTCTATGACTACTTTGTTAACTGGCCATTCCGACTCCTCGTGCGCCAAAAAGTCTGTTCCAGTCCACCAATTCTTGTTCTTGGTCAGTTCTGACAGTTTAAGTCCCCTCGTTAGTAAGTCTGCTGGATTCTCGTTGGTTGGAACTTATTAATAATAATAATAATATTTAATACTTATATTACGCTTTTTCTATAAAAATACTCAAAAGCGCATTACAATATTATTAATAACTAAATTAAAAACCAGTAAAATTACCCGGTAAAATTACAATATTTAAAAATAAATAAATAAATAAATAATCTAACTAAAAGCCTTTTTAAATAAATATGTTTTAACAGAGCGTTTAAAAGAGTCGATTGATGTTTCCTGTCTTATTGGCAGAGGAAGACTGTTCCATAAAAAGGGGGCAGCCATCGATAACGCGCGATCTCCCAAAGCCTTCTTCGTTCTTAGCCGAGGACTTTCTAATAATATACCATTATTGTTACGGCGTAGTTGGTAAGGTGAGTCCGGTAAGACAGAGACAAGATCCTTAAGACTGTTAACACCACTGTTTTGGGTCTGTTGCAGTCCGGATCTACCCGACACCAACGTTTCTTCCTCTTGTCCTAGGCGAAGACATCGAGGAACTTTAATGGTAGGCAGATCTTCCAACTCCTTGAACCATTTACGTGCTTTACTGGCTAGGTCTCTCAGAAAGAAGTCGTCCCAGTCCATCCCAGTGGCCCACATTTCTTGAAGTGAGATTTTGGCGCGAATAATAAATGGTACTAAAAACCCAACCGGATCAAATAACTTGGCGATCTTCTGGAGGAAATTCCGTTTAGTAAGCAGAAAGTCTTTCTCTGGAGGGTCGGTGTTGAAAGTGAAAAAGTCTTCTCCTGGCAACCACGTGACACCAAGTGTTTTCACCATTGGTAGTTCATCGCTCGCTATGTGGACTTCTGATGCTCTGCTCTCTACAGGTATCCTTTCGGAACCTTGGTCGAATTTGATAGCCACTTTTGAGCTTGCATCCCTGCCTTGGACCAGAGCTGATTTAATTCTTTGTACAGCTACCATTGAATCCATACTATTGTCCATGTAAGTTGACTTCAGCACTGTCTCTGCGGCCATTGGGAACTCGTCTTTGTGTTTTTCTGCATGCGTCTGAGCAACAAATTGGGCTTGAAACGGTGAAGAGTTAAACTAACATTTCAGAGTGGTAGTTTATCCGTGGTTTTGCCACCAGAACCTGCAGATCCAGACGTACCATGGAAACGATTTCTTATCCCACATCCGAGATTTCCACGGCAGAAGTTTTTTAAAAGCCTTCTCCCACAAACCTATGAGTCCGCCTATCCTCATTTGCTGACTCGCTTTGAAGCCTATTGGATCAAAGAAAGGTGGGAAAGAAAAGAGGTTTTGGACAATTTGAGTGTTTCGGTGACGAGAATGATGGACATGTCAGACAAGAACTACATGGCTCGTGTGAGAACTTTGTCAAATCCATCAAGGCCTCAAGATGCCACAACATGTATCTCTGCGATTAAAGAGATTGACTCCAAATTAAATCAACTTGCACAGATTCACGAGTCATTAATGCACCAAAAGGAAGGATTGTTTGAACCGTCAAGTGTCACATTAAAGTCGTGGGCAAAGGAGCAGTTCGCCTATTCTCAAAAAACATTAGCTACAACCTCCGATCTGAAAGACAAATTTCAATCCCTGAAAGAAGAGATCTTAGAAACCCAAAAGAAGTTGGCCGATCAGCACAAATTCAGCCTTGCAAGTGCGGAAGCTAGGCGCAAACGGAAATGAAAACGCGACAATGCGAGTAAGGCCAAACAACGCAAAATCGACGCCCAGCAAACCAGAACAAGAGATCTCCTTAAGTTGTTGTGTCAAGACGAAGAAGTCTTTACTGTGGTGGCTGACATTGATGACGGCGGCGAGTTGAAGTTAAAGAGGGCATTAGAATTGCAAGAAATAAATTTCTCTGTTTTGAGGACCTTGCAACCGCGTTCGCATTATAACTCCCTCCTTTTTTTAAGGAAGGAAG